CGTTGATCCCTCCGCTCGATCCCTGTGTACACCTTGCACCCATCATCGCATCCGCCAACCAGGCCAAGTGCTCGTGCGCTGCGCACATCATGCATGCTGCCCCCTCATGCTGCACCGGACATCCCGCTTCTACTCCAAAACAGGGCTTGCGCGCGACGTACACCAGACACACACACCCTTTCTAGTCGATGAGCTACCTCAGTATTCCCCAAGGACCGTGGCACCAAGCCAGTCCCCACCGCGTCGCAGGTACCAGCTGAAAGCGGAAAGGAAAATGCGGGACCAGCAGTACCAGTCATACCAGGTCCATAGTGTCGAGCTAGTAAAAGGGACAGTAGGGCCTGACTGCAAAGGGTTGTGCGGTTTCCGAACCAGTGACCATACCACCGCGACCTGGATGTCGTAAGCCAGAAAATCCAAACCATTTTTGTACTATCCCAGTGTCGGTACCAAATTAACAGGGCCGAACCACAGTTGAAATGGGGATCCGCTGCCGTATGGCGTACCAGTATCAACCCTGTTAATGCATCAATCAGTAGGATAGGACTGCAGTAAGCTGTCTCGGTACCTTGCCTGTGTCGAACCAGCAACATACAAGTCACCGTACCAAGACAAAAGGACTGCATTATACCGCCCCGTGTCAAGATAATGCCACCAATCCGATGCGAGCCGTGGCAGTCCCGGCCTCAATATCGCACCAAGCAAAACAAAGCGTACGTGTGCCGTACCAGCGGTGAATTTGTGATCTGCAGCAATTCCGTATCAGGAAATATCCGCGTCAACAATTATCGTACCGTGCCCGTTCCAAACCAGTTGCCACCCCGCACCAATGCGGAATGACGTACCATGCTGCGGATGTACCATGCCAATACCAAACAAATGGCAGCGCCCCTTCAGTTCCGAACTAGTAGCCGTACCAAACCAACGTAGAATACCATACCGGCGTACAGTGCCGACCATGTCTCCGTGACCAGAAAAATAGAGCACTATGTCGTATCGCAAACGCACCACGCCTGTACCGTACCTGTCCCGAACCAATGTGAATGTACCGCACCTGTTCCGAACCAGCATCGTGCCAGATATACGTGTACCGTCTTGCCGAAAACTGGCCCAGTACCGAACCGGTAACCAAGACTGTCCAGTACAGAGTACAATACCATGTTGCAGATAACCCATGCCGATACCAAAGTGGACCTTGTTGCCGTAACCATGTCGCCGTGACCCAACACCAGCCCCGCTCACTCAACAACACTCGGCCATCACGGTGGTAGTAATCAGGTCAATCGGGAAAATCAAGGGAACTCGTACGGATCGGCGGACATTAGGTAAATAAATGATTTTAGCAAAATCCCATCAAAATTGAATCCCGTTAAAAATTAATCAAATAATAAATAATCATTCGTTTTTCTTCCTTTCACTATTTTTTTTTTTTTTTTACTCATTTTTAATGCTGTTATTAGAATTTGTAAAAATCGAGGACAGTTTCATCAAGAATAGATTTTGGAAAAAGAAAAAAAAAAAAATTAATCAACAAATATTCATTTGTTTTTGTCCTTTTTATTGTTTTTAATTCTTTTTCTCAATTTTAATTTTGTTATCAGAATTTAATGAAAATTGAGGGTTCATCCCCCAAGCAATTGCTTAGTGTCAAAGGGGCGTGCCGAGGCCTGATACCACATCTCCGTACCACGGCCGACCGCTTCGGGAACAACCTTGGAACGGATGAAAATTGGTAGGCTCTAGGCGCGATAGGCATGGTTGCCATTGTGTTGATCCGAAGGGTTAGTTCTAACAATTGACGGGGGGGGGGTAGGGATACCTTTCCGACCCCTAATTTCTTTCGACGACTCAGATGAAAGTGCCAACTGATTCTCCCATAAGCGCTTATCCCGAGGCCCAATCCTGAGTATTTCGGGTGGCCGACTGGGTTGCCGCCGCCCGACACCGGGACAAAGTCAGTGGGTTCCAAAAACGGCCATCGCTGCTCCTAAACCCTTTACAGGGGATAAGAGGGGCGAAGACCTCGACACATGGTTGAGGGCAGTGCCAGTCTATGCTAAGTGTAAACTTACCTTGCCGCACGAGGAACTGCTTGTGCCTGCCTCCTATCTAGAGGGGAGTGCAACAAGATGGTTGAGCGGTTTAGTGCAGTAACAGGGATACAGTCATGACTTCTGCGCTTGGGCAGTCAACCAGAAATTGGATGACTTCCTCAAGATGGTGGAAGACAGGTGGCATGATCCTCGGGAGGCTCGAAAGGCCACTGATGCGATCCAGAATCTGCATACTAGGTAGTTTAAGTCAGTAAAGGAAGCCACAAACGCAGTAGAGCGTCTGATCTGTGTCCCTGGGGTGTGCTATGACCCGAGGTTTTACACTTTTACACGCCTCCTACCTGAGATGCTTTCCTATGCCTCTCAGGAATCAGTTGGCAGGTGAGGCCAACATCAACATGCACAACTTCCCCTCGTTTAGCAAGAAGGTCGGAGACCTGGAAGCAAAGATAGGGCATGGTCAGACACCCATGACGGATGGTAAGAAAAAGTCACTGCCTTCCAATTGGAAAACGAAGGGACTTCATCTTCATGTTCGTCGACAACGAAGGTTCCACCATCTAGTTGGATGACGACTTCCAGGCGGGAGTGGGTTCAAAGGCTGGCATCGTAGAAGCTTCAGGGGGTGGAGTAGTCGTTGCCGTAGCTCAAAAAGGTAAGGCGACCGGTAAACGCTGTGGAGGTTCCCGGTCTAGGAGTCAAGTTGACCCCAATGCTCCACCATGGGAGAAAGCGGGTCTCAGTGAGGATGTGTGGAGAGATCGGGACACGCAGCAGGCTTGTATCCGTTGGGGCCCGGTCTAGGAGTCAAGTTGACCCCAATGCTCCTCCATGGGAGAAAGCCGGTCTCAGTGAGGATGTGTGGAGAGATCAGGACACGCAGCAGGCTTGTATCCGTTGGGGCCAATACGGCCATAACCAGTTCAAGTGCCGAAACAAGAAGGTGACCGAAAATATCCCGCCTACGATGGGGCAGGCTTTAGGATCCTCCGCTCCCGTTGGTAGCAATGTGGCCAGCAGTTCTGGCACTGCTCCTGGAAACGCGTCGGGCCAGTAGGAAGAGTAGCTGTTCGTGCTAGGGTCGAGGTGGTGGACACACCCTCACCGTTTCGAGAGATGGCCCAAGCTATTGACTCCATCGTTGTCCCGCAAACACATTCAGACCCATAGAGCCTTTGTTCGATGAATGTGTTCGAATCCTTAGAGGAGCTAGAGGAGGAGCGGTCCAAATCAGACCCGCTAGCTTCTTGGACGACATTGGCAAAAGCCCCGACGAGTGGGATGTTCATCAGCGAGGTAGTCATCGGCGGCCGTAAGGTTGGGGCCTATTATGACACTTGCTCGACTAGGAACTTCATTAGTCGCGCGTTGTCGGAGGGCGCGGAGTCCCGACCCTCCTCTGTGTGCCCGACTCCTACTCAATACCCGTTCCTCACTCAGATGGCACGGCTCGCCGGGTTGTTCCCAAGCCTTCGCGTTGCTCCTGGAATGTCGGGTGATACTCTGTAGTGGACCGGTCTGGTTGGTGTCCTTCCTAACAAAAGGTGCGCCACTGGACTTTCCATTGGTCCACGTAGGCTCGGCGCCCTGTTGTACAGCAGAGCACTACCGGCCCGTGGTCGTGGTAGCCGCCGGGTTCGACCAGGGACGCGAGATCAGAAGGACCGGCGCGGTCTTTTCTATTGCGCGCCGGGTGCCTTTCAGTCGGGTTATGGGCTAGATGCTCAAAGCCTGCTGTCGCTGTCAGGCAAAATGGGACTAGGTATGTACCCCAGACACCCGCTCTTTCTCTGCTATGTACAGGATGCCGTTCGCATACTTTCGTTGTGGGTCAGGGACCAGTCCGTAGGGCTGCATAGAATGGACCTGGTTGAGGGGCTTGCCTGTGGTACCACGTTGGCTCGATCAGTGCCTTGCAGTGGACTTGCAGCTGAAGTGACCGTCGGGTCTGGCAGGGTTCACTCAGCCGTGGGGCCCGAAGGCCGTGACCTGGGCTATGTGCAGGGAAAAAGAAAAGGAAATAAAATAAAAAGAAGAAGAAAGGGGGCGGAATGGGAAAAGAGGAAAGTCGCGTGTCGAGTCTATGCCCCGAGACAATTCGTTATTTTCGTCTGAGGTGGATAGATGACCTCAAGTTGTAGTGTTTCTGCGACTTTTCCCTTTCCTTTTGTTTCGGTTTTTATTTCTATCTTTGATATTATTATTACCATTATTATCATTGTTATCACTAAGTGCTTTTCAGGTCTTTTTAGCCCGCTGTTTCGCGGGAAGGCCAACGACTTGAATCTCTAGTCCAATTACGGCTTGCGGTTTAGACAGTCCGACCCCTCGCGAAGTGCTCTGTGGCTGAGTGGTCCGGTTGGGTTGCGCAGTAGGACCCCAAAATGGGAGCACCCACGGTCGCATTGGTAGGAGGCTAGTCACCCCACAAGGGTCATGAGCCCCCTCCTTGCCATTGGACACGGGCACCCAGTAGGAGTAGGCCAGCTGCGAGTTTTAAAGAAGGACGGCCGCCCGTCGATATCTCGTTATGGGACCACAGTGTTGAAATTGCAGTCCTATCACTGGGGTCTAGGTCTGGGACTGATGGTAGCGCGAGGTTTAGTTCGTGCTCAACCGTTGGGTTCTGGACTCGAGCGTCCCTTAATTTATTGCATTATTTTCGACTTTTAAAATCTTGAATCTAAAAAAGATTTGAAAAGGATAAATCCGAGTCCCTCATTTATAACGCAAGGAGCGCGGTGCATAGTGATCCTATAAAGATTGAGAGAGGCCAGTTGTGGGCCACTGGCCGATAAAAGCGCTCAGACTGCCTCGATCTGCGAATGCTAGTGGTCCGAGGGAAAAGGCCAGAACGGAGAGGTACCTTGTCGGCGAGCTATTTGTGTACGTGTGAGCCAGGTATAAAGTCGCTAGCTATCTCTGGAAGTGGTTATGGCTCTACACGGCTATAGGCCGGAGTGTTGGAACTTCTTGACTCGTTGCAGGCCAATGTTCGGTGAAGGGCCATGGATTACAGCAATACTCAACTATGACGGCGGAGACGAGGTCAAGTTGAAGATTAACGTGGAAGGAGCCAGGGAGGAGGGAATGAGAGCTCACTCTAAGTTGCAAGCGGCGATTACAGAGGTAAAAGACCGTGCGGAAAGGCGCTGCAGGAGGGACGGTGTGACGGCGAAGATGCGAGTAACAGTCGCATACCATAAGGCCGAGACCTCAACGAACACAGTGAACCGAGAACAGGCACATCTGGACAGAGACACAGGGGGAGAAAGCGAAATGAGTGAGGCTGCTGACCGGGAAACCGATGTCCAATCCCGGAAAAGAGCGGACCAGGTTCGCAGGAACCATCCTCAGGTGCGACAAGCTGAGGACGGCCCGGAGGCCAGCTCGCGGCAGCAGAGGCCTAGAGAGCGCGAGACAGAAAACACAGGGGGCAAAGGAGGGAGGTGTGTGTGATCGTATCGCGCGAGAGAGAGCGAGAGGAGTCCCTCAGAGGTCAACACGTGCTAGCGAGTTGCAGAGAGAGAGACGCGAGCGGTGACGACCAAGAGACTACTCCTTGACATCAGCTTGACTTTCGTGCGCGAAGATAGGACAGTGGACAGTGGCCACTGTGATAGCCGCCTTCGAATGAGCAGAAAGGAGGGAGTTTATGCGCGTGCTCTGGCTGGACAACTAGTGAGGCATCGTGCGTCGGAGGTGTGAGTAAAGAGAGGGCTGGACGCACTCTGAGTAGCTAGTGCGTGAGTAGCGTGAGTCTGTACTAATTGGGTTATGCTCAGAGTGATGACTGTGTTTAGATGACGGTTGATGTCAACTGCTCCGTGGAGGGCTGGCTTACTACTGTGCGGAGAAGAGTGAGATACTCAGAGTGAGCGCGGGCGCTTTCCCTCCTGCCGACTTCTTCTACCTCGAGCTCAAGTGTGCTCGATGCTCGTTCAAACCTTGTTGTTGACGTCACTCACTTTTAGAGTAGCGATTACCTCTCTCTTCACCTTGCGCTGTCGGGTCGCGATCTAATGAGGACTGTTCAGCCTTGCGATGAAGAGTGTGAGAGCGACTCATGGTAAATGTGGAGGTGTCTTGGCCATGACTATAGCGTAACACAGTGTGCGGGGGAAGATAGCCTGACCAAGCCCTCATGAGCCAGGGACAGATACGAGTGGCTGGCGGTCTTCTCCGAAAGCCTCAGCTGAGTTTACCCGGCCAGAGTTTGGTCCATTGACTACAACTTATCTCCACAGCAAGACAATGGTTAGATATGGCTTCGATTACTTGGGATTTTATGTGAGGGGCGACGCTGACGGGAAAGGCACGCGTGGATACAATGTGTTGATCGAAGAGGGCGTGAAAGGACACGCACACTGCCTGCCCACCGGCGACAGCCGCTCATACCTAGCCAATAGCTTTCCTCTATCGTTATTTGGATCTTGGTACAATAAGCGTGGTCACGTGTCAACTGATCATTTTCGGAGCCGAAGGGGAGGGAGTGGTTTGATTGAGTAGATGAGAGGGTCGTGCTCCCCGTGGCTCAAGTGTGTTGACTCCTAACGGTTCGAGTTGTCCAACTCCACCTCTCTCGTCTTTGTTGCTAGATGGTGGATGCGGGAGCGAGGCTTGTGTGGTAAGGGCAAGACTCGTATCCCGTTATTGCATGCAAAGGGGAGTCCTGTGTGCTTCACCCTGGCACCATGTACAGAGAAGAGTCAGCATTTTGTGAAGGGCTGCAATCGAGATGAGCAAAGGCGACGTAAGGAGCACACTATTTGAAGAGTAAACTTGGGACATGAGTTTGGGTAACTGGAGAGAGATACGGGCTAGAGACAGGCACAGACGCAACTACTGATACCACGTGCCACAATGCCTTGGAATAGGAAGCTCTGGTGTGTTTGATTAGCAAAGTCGTCGTGTTTAAGACACGAAGTCATCAGTGAATGAGTTCAACCAGGGCTGTGACACAGTAAGGCTTAATAGGAAAAGGGACGGGATAAGAGGTGAGGAGCTATTCAACTGCCTGGAGAAATCTGCAAAGGATACGCTTATTTTGTTAAGAGAGTTTAACCTGTCCTTGATGAGCAAACGTGTGTCTGCGAAGCGCTAAAACCATCCTGTTTAGTGCTGTACCATCCTTTGAGGTAGACATCACTTGTAAACAGGAGCTGATCTTCAACCACGCTTTCCGCCAAATTGTGTAAATGATCTGTCATTACTCGTGTAACGCACTACTATTGTCCCTTCTCTTTTCTTTTTTTTTGCGTGGGTTCGCAGTCGCTTGATGTCAAATGTGAAGACTCTCGAGGAATGAATGTGGGCGAGAGGTCAGAGGAAAAGGAACGAGTTATGCATGCATCCGGAGTGGTTACCTTCTGAGATAAACTTTACAAGATTCATTCTCCGGCCGGATGACATCATCGAGGGCCTGAGAAAGACCTTGTACAAAAGCCTCTCACGATTGGCATTTTCTGGTTGTCGATGTTTGCCAGATTGCCCATCAGCGTTTAGTCACCGCCATTATAGGCTACTTGCCACTGCCACGCGAAAAGAGTTGTTTGATTAGATGATTGATAGTAACCGAAGGGGAAATAATGACACGTGAAAAGGAGCGTGGCAGATTGAGCAGCGGTTACGTGACCCCCTCAGACTTGCATGTGTGGGCCAGGAAACGCTTCTCTGTCTGAAGGCGTACGCTTAACCTCTAACAAGAGAGGCAAAAATTATAAACATAGAAAAAGAGATTAAATTAATCTTTCGAAAAGGCTCAGTAACCCCCATAATGAAAAGGGCGTGCTGACGCAAGGTCTTAAGCCTATTCGAGCGCCCGAGTATTTATGTAGTCTTATGAATATCTGATCACATGAGCCTATAGGTACTAACATGACTCTATGAGCTTGCCATTGTATGAGCCTAGCGACATTGCGACGGTATGAGTTGATGGCCATACCTACCAATAGGTCTCTGTGAACTGTACGGGTCGGCAGTCGAGGTGACTGTATGAGTGCATGCAGTAGTAGTGGTCTGTAAAAGCACTAACTAGCCTGGTTATGCATGTTCTAATTCACTCATATAAACTTCCCAACGTTTACATAAGACCTTGTGTGCATGGTTAGTAGAAGGGGGTCTCCACTCGGGCTCTCCGCCCCTAGTGATCAAAATGCCTTACCAGAGAGCCAAGGATGAGCAATGGGTCGAAGGGGCAGAAGACAACAACTGAAGAGAATAATTTATTTAATGGTAAAATTTTTACTTGATGGAGACTAGTATCAGTGGTGACAGATGCCCGAGCGAGGCCTAAAAATTGGTTAGCCAGACGGGGGGCGACGATACAGTACTTACCTGTTGCGTAACGCAGTGAATGGAGTCAAGAGTTAAGACGCAAAATTCAGCACGGTTCAACTTTCTTCATTTGACATTGGAGAGATTCGCAGCGGGAGACGGATCGGGGCAAGTGTCATGAGCTTACCCTCCTGCAGTCGGAAGTAGATCATAGCCGTGTGTTACTGACCAAAACGAGGACCTATAATTTCTTTCCGGTATTAAGTAGCCGCAAAAGTGCATTACAGTTCAAAAACGAAACACAGGAATACCTCAGACCCGTTTCTGCTCATTTCTGCAAGAAAGTCGTACTTCTAGAGGCGAAACTATGTAGGCTTCCACTACACAGTTCAACTGGAGACGAGCTGGGCCCAGAAAAGAGGGACAAGACTATGGGGGTGGTGACTCTCTTCTTGTGAGTTAAGTCTACTAGTGCACTCGAAGTTTAACCAAGTTTCCGGGAAACCATCAACGACCTTCCATCAGAGCTCACTGCTAGTGGGCATGTTCAGTTGTCAGACAGATCAGCGAGTCACTACCTGCCCCTCTCTGTTGAACTTTCTTGAGTTAGCGGTAGTCCTGTGGATCTAATTCCACTTTAGCATCCGGCCACCAGTGGAAAACAGTCTATGCTGAGTTATGAGTAGTCAACCTGACAGTCGGTTTAGATAGGTGAAACCAGTCCCCTCTTACCCTGTGAAACCCGCCTGGGACCATTGGCAGTTTTCCATATCTATATCCAGAACCCTGGAGGAGTGAGTGGAATCATGAAGGAGGATGGAATCTTAACGGTGAACTGCGGAGTCGTTTTGGAAAAACGTGGGAATTGGGAGGAAGAGGCTAATTTGAGTATGGAATGTCAGATGATGGCCATGAGAGAGGACACAGTCCGGAGGGCGAGGGATGGAAATTTTGTTGAGTATGTGTTTTATTTTCACGATTGGCAAGTTGCACAGCATTGGATCGTGGCTGGAGTCGACAGAGCAGGCCAGAGCAAGACTCGGTTGAACACGAAGGTGTTCGGTCATCCCCCATCAACTTCCTTATAAAGCATAAAATATTGCCCGATACAAAGGGGCTAGCGTATTGTGACTGATTGCCTCGAACTCTCAATTGAACCAACCTAAAAGCATCAGCTAGGACCAATCAAGAGTTCAGATACTCAGACAATACTCAGGCAATACTCAGGCAATACTCAAACAATACTCAGGCAATACTCGTACAATACTCGGGCAGTACTCGGGTAATACCAGTCAATATCCAAACAGTACTCGAGCAGACTTTCAATTGAAGTCTAACCAATTATCCTCAGTTCAAACAGCTCGAGATCTACAATCTAAGACGATCAGCACAAATTTACTTTTCTTATCCTACACTAGAGATCATTTTCTGGTATCTGTCACGACACATGAGTACGGTACAATCATTCTCAGTTCCAGAGACTGTCCTGGCCAGTATCAACAAGATCTCCTCCAAAGATGCCTTCCAGTACAGATATGTCAGTGCCACTGGCTTCATGCAAAGTAACTTGACAATCTATGT